GGAAATGTTAGACTTTTATGTACAGCTGTGTTGTCATCAAAAGCAATGTGTACAAACAGCTTTAAATGTCATCTCTTCAAAAATAACATACATGGAGTAATTGAGTCAGCACTAAGTTCAAATGTGTTAGTATATAGTTCCTGTAAAATATCCAGAAATTGAGCTCCAGCTCTTTTTCATGGTATTATATAGTTACATTTTAAGCTACCATTTCTATGGTGTTTGTACTGTTGTAGTTTAAGCCATGTATATTTTTAAAATGTATTCATTTTCATTTTTCTTTCAGCAGTAATGAAGGATTTGGCTCAGAAACTTCTGAAGCCAAATTCCAGCTTTAAATTTCCACTTGCCATTGCCAGGTACTAATGTTAAAATATCTCTTTTTACTGAGAACCCTTCCAAAAGGTGCAGCTGTGGGCTGGTTTCATCTTGCACTTTGTAGCTGTGTTGGCAACCCTTGAACGTTAGGTATGTTCCCATCTCCCACACATTGCGATAGCCTTAATGCTGTTCAAGCCTGTCTGTATCAGGGAGAGTGTAGAGTTCACAGATTGGAGAGAATCCTGGCTTGTGGTTCCTCTCATTGGTTCTCACTATGGCAAGGTAAAAATAGAGCAAGTGGAAAATCCAGCTTTTATCATGTGTCATCAGAAGCTTTCTTACTATCTGGAGACATACTACTGGGCTTGTGACTAGAAGGAAGACGTAAAAAGTGTATGACAGCTTTTCAGAACCTTCGTGTTTTGAAGAAAAAAAAAAAAAGTAGTTGATTACAGGATTTGAGGAGAAACAAAAATAATGATTGCTTTAAGTGAAAAACTGATACTGGATTGTAGTAAAGGGATCTACAAAGTTGCTCAGATTCTTAAGAGTGGATTTGGTTCTCCAAGCCTCTGCGCTGTGCTACAGTATGCATCAAAACAGAAGATACTTTTGAAATCAGGTACTGAATGCAGGTTGCATGTTGGATTTATTTACTTGCTTTTTACTAGAAGTGACTTATGTGAAAAATTTCTTTTCCAGCTGTAAATCATCAAATATGCTGTATTTTCTTCATCTAATCTACTTGAAGAGTATCTTGTATTCTGACGACAAGATTCAAATGGTTTTTACAAAACAAGTGTAGTTTTCTTTACTTTAATCTCTGCTATTTCCTGTTGACATTTCGAAAATGGAGGACATTTCCCAAATTTCACTGTATTTTATGTAGACATTGTAAATTGGCTTCAATTTTACAAATTCTAGGTCTTTTTTTTTTTTTTCTTGTCAGATGTGTGTGTTGTGAGATCTTCCAACTTGAACATCATTTTCAATTTTATGCATAAGTTGTAGAGTTCAAAGTACAAGTCAGTGTGATGCAGTAACTTAGTTATAGGGGCAATGACAGTAATGAGTGGGAAATCCTTGAGTAGGTAGATTAGGTAGTGTTCATTCATTAATTGCCTACATGCTTACAAAGTGAAAGTTTATTCATTGCTGTTGAGCATTGTAACTGTATCTTTAGATGCATTGTTCTGACATTACCATGCTGAAGGTGCCTAGATTGAGGTTGGTTTGTGTGTATGTGTTTGTGTCCTTTTGCTACTGAGCTTTTACTTGTCAGCTTAGTATTACAGGGAGGTGAATATCCTGGATTTTTAGTAAAATATGTAAATATTTTATGTTTCATTTATTTATGGAATAGATTCTCTTTATTTTAAAGGCTCTGTTGATGTCTAAAATTTCAGCAACATCCCTGATTGATAAAAATTTCCAGTTTTGGAGAAATTGAATGGGGTATAGGAAAGAAGAAATCAGAAATCTTGATTTCTATTTTAAAATTTTAGTGCTACTTCAGTATTTTGATAGATGTGTGTTTTAGGGTGGCAGTAGGAAATTCTTAATTTTAACCAATGTGTTTGCTCAATATTCATGTCATTGTACACAAAGAGTAGATTTTACTTAAATATGAAGGTAAATGTTTCCGGAAGCTTTCCATTGTCATCTAAGAATATTATTTAAGAATACTGTGCAATAGAGGGATTCAGTAGCAGATGATATAGATGAGAAGAGAGGCACTCTACGATCTGTATTCGCACCATTCTTTATATCCTGTGGAGACAGATGTGCAGTATTGTGTGGTGTCTTTCTTCACTCTGCAGTGACTTCCTCCCATGAAGTCTTCACCTGGGATTAGATTCTCCTTCTGGTTTACTTCTGTGATTAAACTTCATTTATCAGGCATAGCCCACACCTCATGTTAAAAAAAAAACAACACCTTAAATCTATGGCAAATCGAATTATCTTTCTAAATACATCTTGCTTATAGCTACTTGCGGAGTATCCCTTGCCATCTTTTCAAGGCATGTTTTGCTACATGTGAGAAAGCATAGTTCTCTCTGCTGCCTGAAAGGAAGGGCAGCAGCTGAATATGCAGGACAGACCGTCCTTGAGCTGCTATGCTGTCACTGAAAGGTTTCAAGTGTCTGTCAGACTGACTTCCACTCAGTGCAAGTGGCTCTTTCTCCTTATTTTTCTCTCATTTCTTTTTGCAGTTTCAATGTAGCTTGAAACACTGCCTCTAGCTGGAATTATGAGATGTGCATTTTTGTTCAGAGATGATGCAATTTCTTTGCAGTTACTTAAGAAGTAGAGTACTTACTGTAGCTGGCTACCTAGGGGAGCAGAAAGTTAAGTAAAAGTATGTAAACTGTTCTTAAATCCTATTCTTGCTTTGCTGCCATGTAGGGATGTATTTTATGCCCTTAGCATTCTGCAGTGTATTAATACGTGTCATACTTCAAATATTTTCTTAGAATACCCTTTGATATGATTCTGATCTGATCTTTCAGTATTTTTTCAGTAGATTTGCCCTTACCATAAGATAGATTCATAGTTTGGGGTTGAAAAGAATTCTGTGATCTGATCAAATGATCTTTCAGTATTACAGTATGCCTAAGGAGATGCTGCTTGGACTGCATAGTCTTGCATTTGAAACCAGCTTGTGTTTGATGAAGAAGATAAGATGCTAAGCTAAAGGAAGGCACCTGAAAGTGGTTTGAAGATGTGAAGAGATGTATACATCATCTCCTTCCCTGAGTAGCTTGTTCTATATTAATTACTGCATTTGGAGGTCTAATGGTCAGCTACTTCCTGATCAGCTACACTAACATGTCCTTTATGTTTGTGTAGGTTTTAATTGTGAAGTTATACTAACTCAGCTATCTGATGGAGCTCGAGAGTTTGTGTCAACTCATTTGCATGTTTAAAATAACTATATCATCATAAAGAAGGAAGTAGTGTGGTTTTTAACAGAACCTATTCTCTACAAGGTATGCAGACAATCCTTAGCTACACTGCTGCCTTTTATTGTTTTATCATAGGAATCCAATATCAACTTTTCCTTAAGATTGTTAGTGTAAATAGCGTGTAGTCATCAGTCGTTTTGCTTGTCTTTTCAGGATACAAGCAGAGCAGAAGAACTCCTTTGATCCTTAGGGTCTGCTCATTTTCCATGAGTGATTGAAAAGTAACATCAGCAGGCCAGGGATCTCCCTAGGCAACCCTTTTGAGTCTCTTGAATTCTCATTTTCTGGGCCTTCTAAGTTAAAAATTTTATGATTAACAGATGTTTTCTCATGTCCTTCTCAGTTATGAATGGACTGGAAAGTAATTCATGATTGTTATTCAGGCATTCTGCTGTATGTTGTAAGGGCCACCTTCTACTATAAATTTGTAAATAATTCATTATCTTTCACTCTTCTCTTTAGTTCTCTTCACTTCCAAAGTTCTTCAGCGATTTCTGTCTTTTTCACTTGCAATTTGTTCACATTTTTAGAAAGATATGTAATTACTCAGTGAAAAAATTGTCTGCTATTTCAGTTCTGTTAGTTTAATTTTTGCATATTTGAAAGATATTAACTTAAAACAATATTTATATTTTGCTGTCATTTCTTTTTTCCCTTCTACTTAGTTATCATAATAGTTCTATTGAATCATGTGCACGCATGCAAATGGATGTGTGCATATATACATTTCAGAAGTGCACCATTTGTTCTGATGAATTTAATTGAGCAGAGATCAGCACTGTTTAGGCAACTGACAAATTTTACCTCAATGGTTAAGCTCTGTTTATCAGCCAAAAGCCATCAAAGTATGCCGGATGTTTCTGGCAGCTGTTTAATAATAACTTTATGTAAATGTTCTTGTGTTCTAGGAATTCGAAAAGATTTCTTTAAAACTTTTTAAATTATTCTTTTGGCAAAAACAGTGCATTGAGAGATTGATCATCTCTCACACTACAGTGTTAGAACATTCGTTTATATAGTATGTTCTCTCAGCAAAGAAACCATTGCATGAAGTCTGTATGGAGATGTTATGCAGGGTTATTTGGATCTGTAAAGTGTTCCTTCCTGATCAGCTCACCATTCATCCTTAACCAATAATTGTAGAAAAGGAAATCATTGCTTCAAAAATACCTACACTGTTGACACTGCTCGGCTTGAAGAATATCTGTGCATCTCTGTATCTATATAATTGAGCGTTTTTTGTGAATATGAGTCTGTTTCTACTGCTGTTCCCACCTTTTTTACCTAGTGGATCCTCAGCTCCCATATGATGATGTGTTTCTCCCTCACCTGGTATACAGTGGATGTAAATATTTTAGGAATATTTTTTTCTTTCGTGTCTTGCATTGTGTTTCTGTCCTCCCATAGGTGTCAGACTTTTACTGTATTTTTCCTTCCTGTGTTAAATGAAAGGTGATTTTAGGATTGATGGAATTTTCTGAAAGAAAATGCTCTAAAAGTACAATCCTCAAAATTTTTTACAGCTTTCTGGTAAGTTTTGGAGCGTTTTTACTTAAGCCTGACAAGTGAGATGTTTGCAGAGCCTTTTACAGCTGATAAGATGAACTGTTTACTACTTAAAAATGAACTGGTTTCATTTTATGTCATGATTTTCATAACTGATGGTTGAATTCAAGTGTAGCTTGGCTTATTTTTATTTTTCTTCTTTTACAGCTTTTTCACTTCCGGATCTTACGGAGCAGTTTTCACCTCCTGATGTTGCTCCACCAATCCTCATCAAGATAATAGAGACAATTGAAAAGAAAGGTAGGCTGAGGAGTTATCCACCACTTTTTATTTCTTGTGTGAGCCAAGGCTGCAGAATTAAATCCAGAATTAACATCTCCCTGTCCTAGAGCTGCTAAGGCATCACATTATCCAACTCAGATGAAAGTAGTCTCGTTTAAGGTTTGATGCGTTGGTTTCTGCTGAGAGGCTATTCAGACCTGAGCAAAGATAGAAGAAGAAGGGATTAGATTTATCTTTTTTTTTTTTTTTTCCTTTTCCTAACACTCTAAAGTCCTAAGTCCTGATTGTGGAAGAAGCATCATGACATTTCATTGGATACAGGGCCAAATAAGTAATTTTTTTCTCCAAATCAGAAAAAAAAAAAAAAAAAACCAACACAACTGAATATGAAAAGGTTAGAACTGTTTTTGTACTTCAGGAGGCAGATCTTTATTACTGCTGTGTTCTGAGACAGTCAGTGATAATTTTTATGGCTTTTTTGCTCTCCAACTTTTTTGTGTTGCATCTCTCTGTCCCTTAGAGGCTTTCACCTTTATGTCTTCTACTTCTTTTGCCCCCTCAGTCTTTTCCTGGCTTCTCTATGTTACTTCCTTCATAGTACTGGTGTGATTAGGAGCAGTGTTGCTCCTTCAGTGGCCTTGGAAGTGAGGAGATACGTGGCATTCTTACCAATACAGATTGCTTTCCCTGTGAATATGGGTTCTCACATAGTGCTGTGACACTGGAAGACTGTAGTATTTTACTGAATGAGGAAGAGTTTGCTAATATCAGTGAGAAGGGCCAGTGTTCAGCAACAGTTAGCATAACCAAGAAGGTTCCAGGAAGCACCAGTGACAATATTAGATTGCTGGCGTTCTGCATCCTTGGGTACTGTCTCATTTCTTGTGTCATCTGTATTTTCCCTGAATTAGCAAAATTGTAAACAGAATCTTTCATGTGCAAGCATTGCATTGATATTCTTTAGTCAAGTGCATTCTGAGGCATACTACATGATGCATATGTCCTCTCTTGTGGTAGTGATGTGACACACCCTGTTTACACGCTGAGGTTTTGGGCTCTACAGATTGTCAGTGGTAACCCAAGACTTGCCTGTTCCTTAGAAGAGACTGTATGTCTCTGTTAACTGTGTAGAGCACCAGGGGTGAGCTTGCTTGTGACTTAGAAGTCTCAGTTAAGTCTGTTTAGGCTTAACACTAGTTAAGGTGTGTCAGAATTTCTGTCCTTTCCCATTCCTGAGGTAGTGTACCTCAGGCTTCTTACTTATTAAATAGGCCAGGTAAAGGAAGATGTGTCTCCAGCATTGCTCCTGCGGGTTGTTCTCTTTGCTGTGTCTGTTGCCAAATCCTGAGCTTCAGTGTTCATCACATAGAGCGCTGCACTGAGTGAGGGGGTCTGCTGGGATCTCGGATCTTCTATGGCTAGTTCTATTTGCAGAACTTAGTTTGTGTGTACAAAGAAGTATATTACAGCCTTAAAAATCAATTGTATTTTGTAGGAGGATAGTGATGGTAGAATGTTCCTAATTTATTCTATATATACTTATTTGAAGAATACAAAAGTATGTTGTTACACGGCAGCAGTCACTGGAATATTAATACATCCCATCAATTTTGTTTTGAAGGTCTGGAGTGCTCAACTTTATATGTGACACAAAGCTCAAGCAGCTCAGCAGAATTAAGACAAATTCTTGAATGTGGTAAGTACAGCTCTCTTCCCTGAAGAACTAGGTGGATTTTAGGGTCACACTGATCCTGTTTTCTTTGCTCCCCTGCTCAGCTTACGTATAACTTCTGAATAATATAATAAGTCAAATATAAATAAGAAAGATTTGTAAAGTTCACGCTTAATATGGAAAAGTTGGGTTTTTGTTTTTGTTTTGTTTTGTTTTTTACTCTTGCAGGTTATCCTTTTATTCACTGCATCAGTTCCTCTTCCATAAATAATATTTTAGTCATTTGCTGGCCACCTGCTTGTTTAAGGGCTAAAAGTTCAGCTGCATGGGGGAAAAAAATAAGAAGAAAAGGGAGGTTTTGTGTTTGGTTTTCTTCTTTTTGAAGCAAGGGAAAGATGCATCATTCCTGTAGCGCTGCACTACTCGTTAATATTTTGTAAACAAAAGGCCAATTGTTTACATACAGTTCTGTACGTACATTTGTGGCAGGAGAAGCAATAGCTGAACATTCCCTGTCTGGTATGGAGATGATGATGGAAGGGAAAGCAAATGATTTGAGCCAGTGTTGCTGCAAAAGTTTGGGTTCTCAGGCTTTGGGCATTGAAGATGCAGTTACACTGCTAATGCCACATACACATTCAACTTCTCTGACATGTGCTTCCTTCTCTTTTGGTATTATGGTTTTTATACCTTATGCCAGAATGTATAGGTGTGGCAACACTGAACTGCACTATGAGAGATGAGGAAGTATTGTAGCAGCAGTGCTTTGCTATGCTTTTGCAACCTGGTGTGCAGTGTGAGCTTGCTTTTTGCATGAAGAGGCACAAAAATACAAGAGGTAGAAAATGAAACTGGTTACATGCCATGGTGCCAAATGAACTAATTAAGCAACTCATACTTCTCTCTTCATTTTTAGTAATTTCAAGTATTAGCAAAATAAACAAAAAAACGATACTTTGAGTTGACTGTTCTTTCGAATCAAAAGAGCATCTTCTCCTTTGTTGAATCTGGTGGGAGAGAAGAGGTGTATGCATGAAAGCAGAGAGAGAATATACACATGTGGTACTAACAGCCTAAGCCTTATTTTTAGCATCGTAATTATATTTCAGTCTGCATAAATCCGCATTTTTACAGCATAATATGAGTGCAGATCTTAATTTATTGAAGTCCCATGTTAGGTCTTTAAACTGGTGTATACTCTTATGAAAGATTTGTTTATCTCCCAAGATCAAGAACTTGTGGTTTACATTTATTCTTATTTAAAATGTAATTAGGTTTGAGGAAAGGAAATCGGGACTTTACTTGTTAGTAACGTAGTAACGGAGTTTCTTACTCTGTTCTCTTTAAGATATTACTAGGGTCTTCCAGGACAGGTCCAGTGTGGTGGGTGTCCAGATGCATGGATACAGAGAGATTGGATCTTTGCTGCCTACTGTCTTGATTTAACAGTGTGCAAGTCAACTTTATTCACCAAGCTGTGAAGAGCATTAATGTGCTGTTCTGCTTATGGCTAAAGTACTCTGCATTTTAATTTGGATGACTGCCCGTTAGTTTCAACACAGTGTTATTTAGCTCCAAAATCAAAGCTGTCTTGCAGCTGGCCAGCTCAGTAGACAGAATAGTTAAGGTCTGTTTATAACTACACTCAAAAAGCTGCAGAGTGGCTCAAGTTAACTCTTACTCACACATTCATGTGTAGGAATGGGTCAACACTGAGAGAATCAGGACTTAAATTATGAAATAAACATTCTGGGAGCAACGGAACTGTTGAAAACTATTAGGAATTTGTAGTTGGTTAGGTTTCTCGGTGCTTAGTTGCTTTTGTAGAATGCATAGCCACACTGCAAGTTTTCTCATTATTTTCTTGAAAGGATTCTTTGGGATTAAACTCTGCTGCAGGCTTTCCTTTGGGGAAAACAGGAGGAAGGAGAAAGAGCACCGGGTGTCTCACTAAACTGTTTTGACTTTTTTCACAGAATGTGTAGGCACACCATATAGCTGAGTTCTCTACCTCACAGTACAATTTGTTTCAAGCTGGATAAGTATTTTCTAGAGTTGTTTTAGAGGAGACTTGACTAGCCTAAAAAGTTGTTCAGCATTGGTATCTCTAGATTCTTGTCCCACATGTGTCTTTCTGTAAACTTTTGGGACTATACTGCACCAGACTTTTATGTTTTAAGAGGAAAATCAAACTTGCTTGCACTATTTCTGTTTTCCTATTTTTAATTTTGCTGCTGATATCCCTTGCTCCAGCACTAAGAGGTACTGGTACTCTCAGATCTTAGTTTGAGTCATAGCAATACTGGAAGGATACCAGGTTTTACAAGATAAATCCCAACTGCTAGACAAAACACTCAGCACCTAGTTCTGCACATGTGTATTTGTTTCCACTTACTCACATAAATATTTACAGGCATGGAGCCCCGAGTTGTTAATTAGTCATAATAGCACTAGCTGTCAGCAAAGAGCCTGCATTTGGGTAAAGCCTTGATTAATACTTACTTCTTAAACAAAATATTTGTAGGTAAAACAGAGATCTGTTAAAAATATTCTGATATTCCATAACATTACCAACATAAAGCAAATTATTATCATGAGTTCAGCCTAGCACTGTGTATGACTGAAAGCCACACAGCAGTGGAAGTTATTTGTTTCATCAGATGTGAAAGGCCTGGGCACAGTGTTGAGCACTATATATTCAAGTCCTAACGATGTGTTTTGATGTTTTAGATTGATAATTTCTTTTGAGTTGTTAATTATAAACCAGATATTAATTAGCAGTTCTGGCTTGTTTTGAGAGGGTAATATCCTAAGTCTGCATTTTTCTTCTAATTGCTAATATCTTAGAACTATGCTGTTCTTTCCTTCCAGATGCCTCTTCATTGGATCTAGAAACTTTTGATGTACACACTTTATCAGATGCCCTCAAGAGGTATCTCCTAGATCTGCCAAATCCCATAATTCCAGCAACTGTTTACAGTGATGTAATTTCTGTTGCTCAAGGTAGGAATACCAGATTATTTCAAATGTCAGAAAAAAAGCTTTTTTTTAGGATTTTGAGTTCTAGTGATCCGGTACATAACCCAGAGAACAAGGAAGATGCTGCACAACCTGGCAGTTATCTCAGAAAAAAAAAATTGACACCTTTACTGTTTTTGATGGGAGCTGTTTCAGTTCAGATCTAGATCTGCATTATTTACTTATGTGTTTAGGTAAGCATGATAGAAAAAAAAAATATACGGGATAATGTAATTCTTTGCATTTTAGTTGGTAGAAGGACTATAGAAAAACGGGGGAAAAATCAAGGACTTATCTGTGTGCAGAAAGCTAATTTTTAACTTTTTATCAGTGCTGACAAAGTAAACATATTAGAGGTCGTGGTGTTCTGCAGTATGTTGGGAGTTAAAGATTATGAAGTGACAAATACATGCATGTAAGATTCACCACCTATGGTGCTGATTTCAAACAAACAGCTTACATGCTTTCAGCTCATCAGCGAAGTATTCTGTTGTATGTCTCAGGACAGGATATTGTTACTGGTAACCTTCAAAGTTAGAACAGCACCTGTGGGGCTTATCTAGTGCATCTCAGAATTACCCAATCATGTGTGACGCTAAACACAAGACAGACTTCTACCAGTACGCTCTGAACACATTGTGGTTTTTACCAAAATGCATATCTGTTTCCATTTGACTTCTGAATGCTTGTTCTTTACTTTTCCCCAAGCATTTCACTTCTTTTCCAAAGAAGAAACAAATCTTACAGCACTAAGGAAGGACTGAATTTTTATTATTCTTCTGCAAAATCGATGCTTCCAAAGGAGGGAGATACTTTTACATTTTATTTGCTGAATATTCCCATGCTGATATCAAGATCCTTTTATCTGTTTACTTGTAGATGTGCAGAGCTCAGAAGAATATGCACAGTTGCTGAAGAAACTCATTAGATCTCCAAATATACCTCACCAGTACTGGTTTACGCTCCAGTATTTGCTCAAACATTTCCTCAGACTTTGTCAAGCCTCCAGCAAAAATCTCTTGAATGCACGGTCTCTAGCCGAAATTTTCAGCCCTCTCCTTTTTAAATACCAGATAGCAAGGTACGTAGGACATCTTAATTATATTCGGTACCATAACTTGGGTTAACTGTATACAAAAGTAATTGTAATGAATTAATTCTGTGACCTGACTTCCAGCAGGGAGAGTATTCTGCTAATTTTTTCCAATTCTTTTGAATAAGACTAGGGTAAAACATTTGTATTTTTCCTGTTTCTTATTGTCTAATCCATCTCCTACAGCTCTGATAATACTGAACACCACATAAAGATTCTAGAGACTTTAATTACAAGTGAATGGAATGAGAGACAGCCTGTACCAGGTAAGTTATTCTGATTTTAAAAGCTATATAGTGTCATTTTTTAATAGTAAAATTCAACTTAAGGACAAGTTGTTGCTTTTCTTTCTTTTCAAACAATGTAAAATGCGTAGTTACAGAACTGAGTTGTTTATATTTTTCATAGTGATGTGTAACATCTGTTTTCATAAGGAATTATCTTTTTCATTAAATCAGCCTAATATCCATACTTTCTACAGTCTTATGATTTTCATTCCTTTTTCATTAAAGAGAGAACATTAATTTTGTAATTTTAAGACGTGTAAACCAATAAAATATGTATCAGATAGTGGAGGTGGGAGGAGTAAGTTCTGGAGATTTTATTTAATTGTCCTAAAACTTTGTTAGCAGTAGCTCAGAGATCATCTGAATAAGTCAAGGTTTTCCCTTTTGTTTGTTTATGTTATACATATTTTTTTTTTAATCCAGAGACTTAAAAGATTCATTTATCAATAAACTGCAGAAAATATTAAAAACACATTCAAGAAAATTAGTTTATAATTGTTCTGGTGCTGTGAGTTATCATCTAATTTAGTCAAGAAACTAAAAAACCTTTCCATTTAAGCAGAGATTCCTCTTTTAAAATCAAATACTTGGTAGAAGCATGGCAGAATTGCATACTATGTACAAAGAAATTATGAAGGTAGGGACACTGTATGTGTGAGACTGAAGTAATTCCTTTTACAGCTTATTAACAATGAGTATCCGAGCAAAGGATAGGGTCACGGTGAATAGAACATTAGGCATGATATAGCTCTCCCACCTCTATTCACAGTACAAGGTGGAGTTCATGACAATTGGATTTGTAGGGCTGCTTCAAATTTTGAAGAGCTGGAACACATCAGCAGAAAAAGAGCAGCAGAAACCTACCCTGTTTCTAGTATTACACTTACGCACATTCTGTAATCCCCTCCATCAATAAATGATTAATTTTAAAAATGTCTAAAGCAAAGGTTTTTGTTCCTACTGCTTTGATTGGAAGGTTCTTCCAACCTTGCCAGCTGTATTAATTTGAAACATTTTCCTAACAGCTAGTGTAAATGTATTTTCAGGTAATTTGTAGTTCCTTGTATTTTTTTTTTCCTCAGAATAGGTTAGCAGGCATTTCCAGAACCACTCCGCATTTCTGTTCCTAATGTTTCGTTAAAACCAGGAGAGTTCAAACTTTTAATGACTGCTTGCATTTCTTTATTAAAAATCTGCAAATAACTTATTTTTCTTTGCCACACATTTAAAGTATTAAGAAGGAAAATGCATTATTGAATCCTCTGTGCTTGACAGAGTTTGATAATAGCAGTTTTTGAAATTGTGTTTGCAGATACTTTAGGATATGTAGGTTTACATGGCTTGAGACAATCATGTGTGAGATGGTCAAGTACTGTTTCTTAGGTTGGTGAGAGTTAGTGAAGTTGCACTGAAGAGATCACTTAGTTGCATATAGTCCCCTGTTGCTTCATGTGAGGAACATATAAAAGTGAAAGGTGTCAGTGTTAGAACTACTAATGAGGAAACAGTCATCCTGAGAGTAACATTAGAGCACTTGAAGAAATATGGCTGTATTCATCAGATTTGGCACTATATTAATAATTAAGCATTAGTCATTAAAAACAAATACTTGTTTTTAATATTGCTTTGGGGTTAATTAATATTTTGTTATCGGTTGTTTATTTTGGGGGTCCTTCTGCGATTTCTTCATAGGGCAAAAATAGACCTTCTCTTTGTGTGTGACAGTTTATCCTGACCAATGGAATATTTTCAGTAGAATATTTGCACATCTATTAATATGCTGAAAAGAGGTGCAAATTTTCAAACTTCGCAGTCTGTGGTTAGCTTCTCTGCTATTAGGCATGTAAAGCATTTGAATAAGTTCTGAAAGTTGAATCTTTACTGAATGCTAAATGAGTCTCCAGGATTAGGACACAAGTCTGTGCTCAGCACCAAAATTGTTTGGTGACCTGATTGTTTGCAGTGCTGTGTTTTTTTGTTCTCACAGAACTCTATAAGATGTGTTTTTCCAAATTGTGAACTTCAATTCACTGCAATGAATTGTGGCTTGAATTTCCATAAAAATGTTTAGAGACATTGTAATAAAGGAAGATCTTTAGCAAAGAGAATTTATTTGTCACATAAGTGTGACAAATCTTACCTGTTGAAAGTAGTGTAATGACAATTAAGCAATTACAAGTAAGCCAGTGCTGCCCGTTTGTTGTTTTTTTTTTTCCTCAGGCTGAATGGTTAGCATTCTCCTTTATTTCTTCTTTCTATTATTCTAAAGCATGGATGAAAACATTCCATCTAAAATGAATTGCACATGAAGTTCTAGTTGTATCTTAGGCAGTGAATAGATAATGAAAATCTTGGCCTAGAGATGACTGATTGGAGTAGGGAGGAAACCTTCACAGAACTGTTGGTCTTTTTCATACCACTTCACCCACCAATTGTGGTTCTAGCTTCAGCACATTAGAAAGCACACTAATTGGAATGCTACCGTATATTGGGCATCCTATACAAAAGTGTTGCCTGCACAGCGTAGCACAAAAACAGGCGTTACTGCTAGGCCATTATTGGATTATTATTATTCATCAAACAATAACTATGGTCTGAATTTCTTTTTCCCCTGTAACTGCAGCAGACTCTGTGTTTTTTTGTTGTTGTTGTTACAGTAACATTTAGCCCTCTGCAAAGTTAAAACAGTGAGCCTAGAATACTTCTTATGCCTATGTTTGTAGTATATGAAGACACAGAAGTGTTGCTGACATGACAAGCAACCTTTTGTTTGACAAAGGGCAATGGGAGATTAGGAGTAGGTTTGGGGGGAGAACATGGAGCAGTCAGGGTCCGTCTGAAGTGGAATAGTGTAGAGTGGCTGGTTGTGTGAGAGGAAGGTGTATCCTAGGGCAGGGAAGTGAAGGGGAAGGAGGAAGAGGTGGAGGGAAAGAAGCATGGAAAGTCAGTGGTGGCATTGTGGGCAGGAGCTGGAAGGAGCTGCTGCATGGCAGCCACCTTGAGTCCACCTGTCCCCTTTTACTGTTGTAAAATAAGCGTGGAGAAGTGGGTTTTACTATTTGTGAGACCATAGTTAAGAATTGAAATAATGACGTACATCTAACTGCTGGGGATTCAGTGAGAATCCTGGCAGTATCACCACGGTGCAGGCACTTTGCTTTTAGCTGTACAAAAGATCAGCAAGATTAGCAGACGGTAATCAATGCAGGGGAGGTTATGGAGACTCTTCCTTTTTTTTTTATGGAAGTCTGTCTCAAAGCTACCCTGAACTATGCTGGTCAGGTTCAGCTCAATTCTGTCTGTAGGGTCTGAGGGCACAATGAGGAATGTATGAATCCTGTCCCTTGTCTGGACTTCTCATCCATCATGTCACAGGTTTTGCTGGGCTGTTGGCCACATGATTTGGTGTGTGAGCAGGGGCAGTACATTCCCTGGGAGGGCTTTGTACCTGCTGCTGTGCATTGGCTTCTCACCCAGCAGAGGGCTCCCCTTCTAAGCTAATGGAAGTCAGGCTTCATAACCGATGTAGCAAAGAGCAAAATGCGTTGATAACGTCAGCCCTAGCATTGCTGATTTCTTGCATTAGATTTTGACAGTAGGACATACTTTATATTTCTGAATACCAAGTTGAGTGTATTTGGTAAAACTGAAAAATGTGGCATTGTAAGAATTATTTACAGATTAATGTGTGTTAATTTATACTCATACGTAAGTGTATGCAAACCTGTCAGGCTTTTCTGCTTTATGCATCATTTTATAGAAACAAATTGGGTATTTATATTGATAGGTGAGCATTGTGCGTAAGAGTGCAAAAAGAAGTATGCTGTTGCTTTCTGAAAATACACATCTACTGAGCACCGCTCAGTGTGTTGAAATTTGAATTTGAATAAAAGAAGGTTCAGTTGTGTGAAAATGCTGGAGTGTGCATGTAAGAATTTATTTTTTTGAAAATGTGTGTGGTTCCTTCCGCAGTATGATTTTAGACATTGATTTTTGCACAAGGCAGAGGAATAATAAAAAAAAAAGCCTGGATTTAGGAACAGTCTTATCTTTCATCTATACCTCTATACCAACGGTTTTTAAAATGATAATTAAGTGAACCAACTTTGGATTGTCCTATCTTCTTTGAAAATATGCATCTGTATCTTGGCCCTATAAAACGAAAAGTGTTACCAAGCTCTTTTGTAATTTTTAGCAATAAATAGGAGGCAAATCAGTTACCAGTAGGAGCTACACTATTCTTGTGCTGTGGCTGTGCAATGCCATGCTTTAAGAAATACTGGTTACTGTCTTAATTTGCAGTAGTCTTTCCTTTTATGATGGCACTGCTTTAAATTATATGTATAACATAATTGTTCAAGTAGGCAAAGGCTAGAATTTGAAAAGTGGAGTGATTTTTATAGGTGAAGTTAATCTGTGAATTGTAAAACATTAAAATTGTACTGAAGATATTTGGGATTTAACAGTATAATGAAGTATCAGCGAATTTTGGTAGATACAGTATTTTGTAGTATAAAGGGATTTGGATAGGGGGAGGATTTGTGGGTTGACAATTTCAGTGCTATTTGACTGCCAGAAAGACTGCAAGCACGTCTCACAGGACCCTGCTACCAGAAACTCTCAATTGTTTCCAAAAAGTGGGAGGAAAATACTCATCCCCTTCCTCCTTTCTCCGAATTGAACCCTGTGGTCTGCTGTTTCTCCTCTCACTTTGGATTTACTTCTTTATAAAGGTATAGCTGGCAAAGAAGTTAACTGTCATGCACAAAACAGAGCAGGCTCTTCAATTGCTGCTCCATTCATTAAGAGGACAGATCTCCACCAAACAGTAAGGCAAGGAGGATAGATTTGACCCTCTCTGGGCAGTCCCTTTTCCCACCTGCCTGCATGAAGTGAGTAATCCTGACATGCTGGCAAACATAGATACAGAGTGGTGTTTCCTCTGCTTTTTCCACTTTACAAGAGCTGGGTAAAATGCCTCTCAGCTTCATTTTGAGGGTTTTCATGCAACACCTGTATTTGTGATCCAGAGCAGGAGGTGATGCTGTGGTTGCAAGCAGGCTATTTAGCTTGCACAGGGCTGACCTGTGAAATGCAGCTCTTTTCAAGGAGGATTTTGATTCTGTTTTATTTTTCTGCAGAAAGCCACTTCCTGTAGTTAGTTTGTTCTTAGTGTATCTCTTCAGTACTGCACTCAGCAGCAGGTTGCAGAGCCTATTTAGGGCCTCTTACAATGGTCTTCTCGCTTACTTAGCTAAAATGAGAAAGTTAGCCCTGCATTGACCACTTGTTGGCTGATGACAACTTTTACTTTGAATTTGGCTCCCCTCCCCCACCTTAAATCCCTGGCTCAGCAAATATTTGAACCTGCCCAAGTTAATCATGAAACTGAGATCTTTATCTCTGAGAGACATGCAAGCTACTGAGGGTGGTGGTTTCTTTTTTTTTTTTTTTTTTTTAAACAGTACTAAAGTCAGGTTCACTTTTTAATGATGAATCAGAGTAAGAGGATACCTTCTGTAGAGCACAGTGCTGTAAACAGTTGAGAAGAAGGCTGGGATTTTCTCATTGCATATTGCAGAGATTTTGGTGGAACAGTGGTTGGAAAGCAGAGTCTTCTTTTTCTGAATTATTGTCTGCTTCAGAGCAGTTCCCTCAAAGAAGTTTTTTGTTTTGCTTTTTTTTTTTTTTAATGAAGATTTTTATAAGAGGAAGCCAATTTTTCAGGTTGTTGGATTGTCTTTTCAGACTGTGTAACAAGGGCATGCATTTGCAATGCGTAATTTACAAAGTAAGTGATTCGTAATTTCTTTCTGTTTTCTTCATCACTTTATGGAACTATTTTACTGTAACTGATTACCAAGTAGGGATTTAATAGTCTTAAAATATGGGAGTGAAGGTCAGCTACCTGTGGGTTACTCAGGGAAACGCCTGTGTGCCTCCTGTCTTTCCCTGCCCGCGAGCGAGCCTGCCTTCGGCTGAGCAGCAACCGCTTGTGCAGCACAGCAGACTCAATTCAGCCAGAGCTGAATCCGGGGAGAAGTAATTTCTCCTGAAAAGCTTCATTCAACAGAACAAAAAACATTGCTGATCCCACATTTGACCTAAGTGCAGCCTTGTAGTCTTTGCAGGATCTCTTTGTAACTTAATTTAAATAATTACCTTGGCAACTCAATGTTTAGGTAGCAGGTGGGCAAACGTCGGAGCGCGGTGTCAGGACTTGTGCATGAGATGAGTTTAAGTATCCTGTTTCACTTTGAAAATGGAAGGAATCTGTGTAGCATGTCTACCTAAGCAGGGAAGGGAGTCTACTTCACAATGAATTTAAGCTCCTTAACATATAATGCAGAGCAACATGCGTTTTTTTTAACTGTTGGTACTCCAGACATGTTCTGATGTGTTAACTCTTGTATGAAGGCGGTGAGCTGGTGAGGGGAGCAGAAGGAGGGGAGATCTGTGTGAAATGCTTGGAAAAACTAGAAATTGTCTTAATTTTTTACTGAGTATTTGTGAGATAGAGCGCGTTTCAGCTCCGGCAGGATTCCTTATGATGAGGCACAGATAGTTGCTACAGTTACCCTTTGTTGTGGTTATTTTTGGTATCTGATTTTCTGCTGCCATAGAGGATAGTGAGGATGAAGCACTTGGATTGCTTTCCACAGCACTCTGCTCTGGAATCAATAGCCTGTTCTGTGCGTGTTTCCCAAAGAGGTCTGACAGAGTGGCAGTCCATGATGGGCGGTTAGAAAGAATATTTCTGAGCACCAGGAGTGCACGGGAGATGTAAAGTCAAGTTTGGAAGAAGATGCTGACAAGGACTCTTGTTAACTTGGTATTTCAGTGAGAACAGGGTGAAGAAACAATGTGAAAAGGTAAACTAAATCCTGCTGTATCCTGACAGACTGGCGTTCTATATTCAGCAAAATCATTTTTCAAGATCTTAACTCAGTTTTTTTTTTGACTTTATTCCACAGTGTTGGAGAGCCTGGTGAATGTAAGGTTACAATATTTGATGTTTAGGTTTCGAGATGAGTTAGTCCAGATCAACTGGAATTGTATTTTATTATAAAGTGATGCTGGGGGGAGGCATCTATTGCAGTGTGTCCCCTTTATATAGTAATTCTGGGAACATCAGATCTGTGCGCCCATTAAAATACAGAAATCTGTACAGTTTGAAAATGTATTTCATATATATATATTTCATTATGTGGATACGTACGTGCTTAGGTACATGTGTGTGTAATGGGCACATAACGGATACTGACACACACAAACACGCATGCAGAGTCATGCTCTTATTCCCTTCCATATCTTAACATGTACAGAAACCCTCCAAAGCCTTTTCAGCGATAAACTCAGGCGTCCGAGTAGGAAAATGAATCTAAGAAGTGACCTACCTATCCATAAAGGGAGCCGTGCTGTGTGTGAGCGTGCATGTGTTGTGTGCGTGTGGTGTGTGAGAGCTACGTGCTGCAGCATATCAGCCTTTTGTCATCCTGCCTGCCTTGGACTGTACCATGCTGCAAAGTCAGGAGAATGAAATGGAAACAAGCGTGTGTGAGAAGAGCCCGCTCTGTCTTTTTGCTTGTAATACCAGGTTTATATTGCGGTTCTGCTAAATGCAGGTTACTTCTGAAACTGAAATTGTTCGAAGATTAACGTAGAACAAAATGATGAAACAGGAGTGGTCTGGTGACATTATTTTGACATGATTGGCTGAGGATTATGATGTAATAGGTTACAGTGCAGCCCCTTATAGGTTTTAAAATGAATTCCAAGACACCATTACAAAGAGAGCCTGACTCTTTCCTTGCATCTGAGCTTACTCAGTGAAACTCATACAAATGTACAATACTGTTTGGAATATGGAAGAACTGGATATAGAATATCCTAAGACAGATATAAACTGTGGCACAGACTTGATGTTTTACATAGAAATGGATCCACCAGGTAAAACTGCAGTCTTATTATGGAAGACTTAATTCTTTTTTATCTCTATGATAGATGCTGAAAAATTCTTAGTGGATATGTAAGATTTATTTACATTGTCAGTGCTACAAATAGTTTTTCCTTTTTTTCCTTAATAAGAATTGTATTTCAGTGCTTGTTTATAGTAACTAGTATCATAACGTATAGAAATACCTGCCTGCTTACTTAATTGATTTTTTTTCTGAATTAACCTGTTTCTGCTTTGATTATTTTTTTGTCTGTTGTGAAGAATTTCATTTCTTTTGTAATTATTTTTTGCTATATTTGTTTAACGCTGCGGCTAAAAGGAGATGCTGTAATAACACTTCTATTTTCTGAAGCAGTGATTACAGACTGTTGGTTTGGATCGTTTTAGAAAGAAGTGATTTTTAAAATCTAACAATATTAATTGAATGCTTGATATCACATCATCTTCTCGTATCACATAAAAATACTGTGCTCTCTTTATTTTCATTGCATCATCTTTTGTAGCCAGTGTAATATACATACAGGGATGTTCATAAGGAGTGTTGTACTTACTAAGAAACTAAAAGAGCTGGGATGATTTTTTATTCCTGACCCCCATATAGTCCCCCTTGCTAGTAAGTCAGGAGTGCTGCAGTGTCTTCCTCTGGCAGCCACTGGTATACGTATGCATCTTTGACATTGTGGAAAGGGGCTGTGGTTTTTAATCAGCCCTGGCATTTGGAAGACAATTTATTCTGAAGAATTCTAAGATTAACTCGAGGGATATTTGGGTCACAGATGGGTTTCTTAAAGTGTTTTTTGGCAAATCATTGCACAGAATGCAGAGGATCATGGAAATCCAGTTCATAATATTAAAACGTACAGTACTGCTGTGGGTTTGCATTTTCTATTACCCAGCTTCTAGGTGAGACAACAGCATTACTATAAGATCACTGTGTAGGAGAAAAAAAAATTAATTTCTGCATGTTTTATTATTTACGGTTACCGGAGATAGTGGAAGAAGGTAAAACCAAACTTCAGAATTTTTTTTTTTTTAATGTTCTTATCAGAGCAGAAAAAGATAAGACGCTATATTTTGCTTAAAATACATTATTGGAAGACTAGCATACTTTTTTTTGAAACAGTACATCTATCTTGTTGAATTGTATTGTTTTCAGAAAAATATCTTCATTCCCTTGGTTACTTTTAAATACTGCTGGAGGTGGAATACTCCATAACTATTTCTTTTCTCATTCATGTAATAATCTGTAATTTCAAGGGATGTGTGGTCATGCTTTCAATGAGTTATAATGAACTTTTCCCCCCTTTATTTGTAGCACTGCCTCCTAAGCCACCGAAACCTAATACTGTAACTAACAACGGCATGAATAACAACATGTCATTACAAGATGCTGAATGGTACTGGGGAGATATATCAAGGTAAATCAGCTCAAGACATGTAGTTCTCGTGTTTGACTTTATGTTCTTGGTGTGTTATTCTTATTTTATGTACTCTGCATAAATACAGGAAAATTACAGTAATAAGAGCTATTTTTAGGATATTTTCCAACACAATCATATCACATTTGGTTTTATTCCAGACATGACTAAAAAGTTACTGGCAGTCCATTAGAATGTAATGCATGAAATGATTTGGTGATTGTTCTGTTATTTTAAGATAGCTGTATGAAATACTAGCATGAAAGGACAACACTGAGAAACAAGTATTTTTTTATCCTGTTTTTCATCCAGAACCACAACTGTAGGCACAGTACTTAACAAGCCAGACTAACAAGTGCTATGTATTAGCAACATTTTTAACTGTACTATATATAGGTACATTAAACCAGCACTGGCTGCTCCGATTGCGCAGGCTTGTATGAACAAGCAGAAGAACTCTGCAAGAATATCATTTTGTTTCAGCAGTGAGAGGACATAGAATATAGTGTTTTTGTATCCCAGTTGTTCTACAGTAATAGTAAATAAGTTTTTAAATAACTGTCTGAGTTTATATGGAGATCAAGGAGGCTTATAAAAGAGTTATTTTAAAACAAGAATTTAGAGCACAGAGAGATGATAATGGAGTGAGAAGTAACTGAAATGATTAGTTACTTTTGCTTTCATTTTAGAGAAGAAGTAAATGAGAAACTTCGAGACACTGCTGATGGTACCTTTTTGGTACGAGATGCTTCAACCAAAATGCATGGGGACTACACACTTACTCTAAGGTAAGATGTTAGGTCTGAAATATGTGACAGCAAAATGCAGTACTGCATTGAAAAGACAGTGTTCTTTAGGAAATAGTACTACAAGTATGCCTCACTTTATAACAAACTTTATTTGCAGGAAAGGAGGAAATAACAAATTAATCAAAATATTTCACCGAGATGGGAAGTACGGCTTTTCTGACCCACTGACTTTCAACTCTGTGGTTGAGCTAATAAACCACTACCGGAATGAATCTCTAGCTCAGTACAATCCCAAACTTGATGTAAAATTACTGTATCCAGTGTCTAAGTACCAGCAGGTAATTTGCTCTATTTTCTTTGTGTTCCACGTAGATAAAGGGAAATTATCGCAGACTGTTACAAAGAATTTCAGCTCTGTTAATATTGTAAAAAATAAAAGGAATGTGAAAGTGAGTATTTTTATTTAAAACTAGCTCCAGAAGCTGCTTATAAATAATTAAAACTTTAAATACTGTAGATACGTTATTAAGAAATAAGCTTATGTAAATAATAGATATCCCACTCATTGCAGATGAAATATATCATTTCTATTATAAACTGCACACTCGTTACGGAAAACTGCTTTTTATCATTAATTTCATTTGTATTTGCACATGGTGCATATAGTACATCTTACCTCTATATTGATAAAAGAGGTGTCACATTTACCATGTAAATATTTGAACTTTTTTAGCAGTTCCGAAAATCTGTGCAGTGTGTTGTTGATTTATGAAATATCTTTTCTTCTGTTCCCAGGATCAAGTTGTTAAAGAGGATAGCATTGAAGCAGTGGGTAAGAAATTACATGAGTACAATACCCAGTTCCAAGAAAAAAGCCGAGAATATGACAGACTCTATGAAGACTATACACGAACATCTCAGGTAAGACATGTTTGAAACCGAAAGACTATTGTGTGTTGAGGAGAGTGTTACTGTAAATTCATACTGCCATCTTTTTCCTTCTTCCTCCTCTCTTCCACTGCCTTTACTGTTGCCCAAAAACAGGAAAACAACATACTTAATGTGCTAGCTCAGTGCAATGGAATTGCTTACTTGTATTTGAACAGTCGCCACCTGCAACTTAACACTATGCTCAAGGGTGACACATGCATCCAAAGCAGTCACAAAGCTACTTTGATCTACCAGCACTTCTGCATGGTGTCCTCTTCTGTCCAAGTTATGGTTTTCAAGACACATATGCAAGGAAGCATTCTGTTTTATCACCAGTTTTGAAAAGATCTGCTTTCAGCTATGCAGGCTGGAGAGGTGGCGTGTAGATACACTGATAGAAGGAAAAGCTGCTTCTATCCTCCTTTCATTTTAAACAATTACTAGCCATGTCTTGAAGCATCAGTGAATTAGTGCTGTTTTACACCACTGGAATCCAGACTGTTCCTTAAAGTTAGCAGAAAATAAGACTGAAAGTAATAGAAAAAAAACAGAGGTGTGCAGGCAACTTTCGTTTCATAACTACAAAGACTTAGGTATTGACTTGCTAGGTAGAGGCAGGAGGATGGACTAGATGACTGGAGATCTGTCCTTTCCAGTGGCTTGTAATTTTTTTATTTCAGAAAGTCAGCTGTACTTCTGAGCCTTGATACAAGGGGAAAATTGGATTGCCACAGGGCTTTAATCCTCAGAAACAAAACTTATTTATACAAAACAGAGATTGCATCTAACTCTTTGTCTAGTAGGTTTTCTTTCCTGGAAAGCCTTATCATGATAGCCTCTTGCACAGATCCGATTTCTCTATTTTGTACTGCAGACAGAATACATTCTGGTAATTGGATATTGAAGTCATTGTTAAAACATGCTCAAGTGTTTCCATGATACAAACCAGTAAATTATCCCTCTGTTTGATAACCACTATAATTTAAACAACTATTTTATTTTCAGGAAATTCAAATGAAAAGAACAGCTATTGAAGCATTTAATGAAACAATAAAAATATTTGAAGAGCAGTGCCAGACGCAAGAGAGATACAGTAAGGAATACATTGAAAAATTTAAACGAGAAGGAAATGAAAAAGAAATACAAAGGTCAGTATTTGTATTTGCAAAACCAAAGTAAGACTGCAAAGTTAAAGTAGATCAGTTGTAAGGAAAGAAGACTTCACATGGGGTAGATGTGAACTGCAGAACATGAAGCTACATTTAGAGAAATGATCTGTTTTAGTTGTCTTGATGAGAAAACAGAAGGTATAAAGGTCAAAATAAAGCATGAGAATATAACCTATCACATTGTTCTATTCAGAATTATGCACAACTATGAAAAACTGAAGTCTCGAATAAGTGAAATTGTGGACAGCAGGCGTAGATTAGAAGAGGACTTAAAGAAGCAAGCAGCTGAATATAGAGAGATAGACAAGAGAATGAACAGCATTAAGCCAGACCTCATACAGCTGAGGAAGACAAGAGACCAGTACTTGATGTGAGTATCATTATGAATTAACAAGTTCTTGCTTGGATTTTTTTTTTTTTTAACTGGCATCCAACTTCTGTGACTAATAATTAATTTTGTTTTGCAATTATTCTCCAGGTGGCTGACTCAAAAAGGTGTTCGGCAAAAGAAGCTAAATGAATGGCTTGGAAATGAAAATACAGAAGAGTGAGTATTCTGAGATTTAAATATTCCTGGTGCTTCAAATCATCTTGCACAGAACTGAGGTAGAATGTATTTGATTCCAGGACCACAAAAGGGGAATCTCTACCTTAGGTCTCTTGTAACAGTGCACACAGTTAACACATGGCAGCAGGCCTAATACAAATATTCAAAAGGACACTTTGTCAGACCCTACTTGGCCGTTACTCAGGGAAGTGTGGGTCAGGTTACCATAGCAGAGCACAAGAACTTAACCTGTGTCTTTATTCTTGTGAATGAAGTGAAGATTATAAGGTGTTAGTGTCTTAGAGAGATGCCATATGAGTGGATAAATTGTTCAGGTCTTTTAGGTGCAGACAGACTGTTTCCAAATTGCACTTGCTGATATTATGGTGTTATCCTATACTAGGTAACCTCAAAATAGTAAGTGAAGTTGTTTAAAGAAAATCTTCATTTCCTTTGTCTCCGAGACTGTCCTTGTCAGTGAATCTGTTAAGTACTTAGATTTCTACTGACAAATTAAATTTTTAGAACTTGACTTTTTTTCTGAAGTTGCAAAGAGAGTAAATGAGTGTAATAAGCAGCTGTAAAACTCAGAGGGGCAAAAAAAAAAAAAAGAGAACCCATCTTTCCCAATGAATTATATCCATGTGAGATTGTTTATCTTGGTGGACTACTTGGAGATTCTTCAGAAAGACCAGTTGTAAACAGAGTCGGAGAGGCAGTGCCCACCACTGCAGGCTGCTGGCAAATAGGCTGCACTTAAAGTGTAATATGTTGAAGTGATGGTGTCCACATAGCTGAAGCAGAGGCATCTTCTTTCACAATGGGTTTAACTCAGAGAATTCTTTAAAAGTCTGAATCAGCTTTGTAGAGGTGACTGTTCTGTTAGAGAAGGTCCTATTACATATTACTACATGTTTTCTTCATAATCTGGTTATAAGAAAAGAGAATCCTCTACTATGTAACCCTTTCTACAAAGCCATCTTTCATATAAATAATTTATCTACCTGTACTACTGCTTGTAGCTTTCACATGCAGCAGATGTAATCAATATGTTGCATGATTTTTCACTGCTGACCAAGCGTTCTGATCTTTGGAAATAAAGCTGACTCAGTGGATATTGATTTCACTGGGCTGCTGTTTACCAAAACGTGGGGCAATGGTAGAGGTACCGAAGTGTTTGCAGCATATTCTGGAAAATAGGACAGCATCCTTTTTATGTCCTTCAGATCCACATGAGTATTTTTAAAGGAAACAAGGTCTGTAAGTTTTATTTTTATTCAGCAAGTGAAATGTATTACATGATTTACACCCCTAGTTCTGTCCAAGAGGTGACCTACTCACCAATAACTTAGTGTTTTCCCCAGTAATATGAAAGGTGTTCTACCTTATTCCTGCAGCACATTGCGTGTAGCTCTGCAACATGTTGCACAACAAATATTTTGTCGTATTTTGATAGCCAATACTCTATGGTGGATGATGATGAAGACCTGCCACATCATGATGAGAGAACATGGAATGTGGGAAATATCAATAGAAGCCAAGCTGAAAATCTCCTGCGAGGAAAGCGAGATGGAACATTCCTTGTTCGAGAGAGCAGCAAACAAGGCTGCTACGCCTGCTCTGTTGTGTATGTACTCTAACCTGTGAACGATTTGAACAACCTTTGAGGCAGCTCAAATGCTGGGCCTTGAGCAAGGGGTGTAGATACATATTTGCATATGCATGGTTTCCCTTGGGTCTTTAGGCTTAGAAGCTGATCAACAAGTCTTCAGGCCATGAAGAAAGGAACGTAGGGCACAAAACAACTCATTTATCTGCACTACTAAATCCTGCCTATCTCCTGTGTCCTGTGTAGAGTAGCGCAGCACCTGGGAATTCAGGTTAAACGTAGCCTTTTACCAGTATCCTACCATAGAAGACAAGAGTGCTATGCAGTGATGAGCATTTTAAGGTTTCTTGTCCACATCTTAGTTTCCAGCTTAGTTTTATGGTATTGGGAAACTAAAAACTGTTTGTTTCTTTTCCTCTTTAGGGTGGATGGAGAAGTGAAGCACTGTGTGATAAACAAAACACCTACTGGGTATGGATTTGCAGAGCCATATAACTTGTACAACTCTCTGAAAGAACTGGTGCTACATTATCAACACACATCCCTCGTGCAGCACAATGACTCTCTCAATGTCACGCTAGCCTACCCAGTATATGCACAGCAGAGGCGATGAAGATCTTAATACTCTGGGTTGTTTGGTTTTTTTCTAAAGGAGAGATTTGACAACATTGAGGCCTCTGGAGAGAGAAGGCTCCTTTCAGTCTTACTCAAGAATTTGAGCTGCAGTGTCAAAGCTGTCTGTCTTCAGATGGGACTAGAGCTTTCCTTCACAACTGCAGTGGGAGAGATCACAGCATTAAGCTGTGAATGTATGCTTCTAATCTGAAGTGCTTTTTTTTTTTTTCCCTTCCCAATTGAGAAACGGAAAACACAAGAGTAAGAAATCTAACCTGATCTCCCTGCAGGGACATAGAGGCCTTTAACCATGGTGCTTGTTTACGACCACTTCTGAAGCTTTACCAGCTAAAACATTGGATTCTGCAAACACAATGTTTAAGAGGTCTTTTCATTCACTTATTGGAATTTCTTGGTCCCGACCTGGCTGGGATTTGGTGTTGCCGTGCTCAATGGATCCAGACACACAGCATTGTGGATTTTTTGGTTTCTGGTGAATGACATGTAGCAGAATGGCACTTTCATTTATAAGGGACACTTTAAAGGACTTCAGTTACAGTATGCTGTTAAGAGAAATCGTGATAGTGAAGTGCCAGAAAGTGTTTTGCTTAGACGTTTAAAAATCCTGTTTTAAGAAAACAGGTCTTTCAATGGCATACAGTCTATAATAGTGTACATAGTGTTGGATGGCTAATTATCATTGATGGAAACTATCAGTACCAAACTGCTTCTCTTTTCCTCTCTGTTTGCTAAAAGCTGAATTCTTAGACTATGCTATGCAATACTGAATTTTCTTTAGGCTGTAGTCTTCTCTTGAGCATGTCTACAGGTTAAACTTGTTTTTCTTTCTTCTTTCCTTGCTTCCTTTTTACTTTTTTTTTTTGCCTGACAATATTTTTTTTTAATGTACAGGAAGCCACCAAGAGTTGGCTTCATAATTAAAACTATGAAATATTTTACAGTTTTCTTTGTACAGAATATTGAGCTACTAGCTCCACGTTTTAAAAGTTCGTAATTTTTTTTTTTTTTTGACTAAATATTTTGTTGGGCAGTGCCTGATAAGCTTCAAAGCTGCTTTATTCAATAAAAAATATATGAACCTTACAAAATATCATGGACTCCAACAATATTGTTTCAGAGGCATCTTTAGAATACGGTACCATGCTATGTTTGCTTTTTGAAGCATTTTGAACTTCTGTCATGATTGTCTTTGTATTTAGAAGATAAAGAATTGTGTATCCTTCTCTGATAATGACTGCAGAAAAACAGGAAAATTTGGCTACTGGGTTAGATAGGTTGGATTTCAAAATGAAATCATGCTTCATAGTAAATAAATGACATCTTGATCTACTGCGGCAGAATTCTTGTCAGCATGTCAAGGTATTTTCATTTCATATGAAGGACGTTTCTCTAAACTGTTGCTGAAGTTTGTTTTTTCATATTAATATTTTGAAAAAAGTTCCCATCTTTAGGTAGAACAATCGGATACAACACAGAGCGAATTACAACTGGAAAACCTCTGTTTTTTGACAGTGATAAGGCTTTCCTAATTAACACTTTGGATTTGTTTTCATAACTTTGTAGACTGAGGGAATATCAAAGTGAACACTTTCATAATTTCAAGCTCCAGAGATTTTCAGTTATGGTTCAGTTAAAGGAAATTTTAAAAGTTCAACTAAAGTAAACTTATTAGTAATTCTGGAGCAATTCACTGTGGATGGTTTGTGATGGCCATGTTTTGCCATCGAGGTGTCTCATAACAGCTCTGCTTTAGAGTTACATGTGGTTTGATTCCAAGTATGCAGTGCTTCTTAAGCTATTGGAAATAATAAGAAATGTGCAGGTCTCCAGTAATTTTTATATTTTCTTCTATTTTTTTACATTATCCCTTCATTTATGAGGCTGTAAATCTTTTTATCTTACGTGGATTTTGTGCTTTATTTGGTAGGTTGTCTTTGCTTTCCTATAGATGTATTTTCTTGCTAGAATCTATATCAGGAAACAAGATTCAACCAACATTCATGTGTCGGGATAGTTACCACTTGCAAAATTATTCTGATTTTTTTTTTTTTCTGAATAGAATTTTAGTCTTCATGCCTTCCCTTCTGCATTCCACTCTTTTCAGGCCTCCCACAATAGAATCATGTAAATTTGGTATTCTAGTAACTTTTTTTTACTGTGGAAAACACCAACAATTGCTCTAGCATGACGGTCATACTACTGGGCTTGAAGTTACAAATTAGCTCAATACACAATACTTGTAGCAATCCAAGGTATTCTTCAGACATATATTAATTTTTGAATGTTAAATATTTTACGAGTAAAATTGTATTTTTTGTTCTCTATAAGCAAAATATATGTAATCTGAATGGATGTTTCACTTTGTATTTCTCAAGAAATTTCATGGAGTTAAGGCATTTGGATCTGATTTTCCTCATATTAAGTAAACCTCTGCTGTGTCAGTGGGCCATATCCTTAGCATGCCCAGCCCAGTAAGGGATGTCATTTGTTCCTGTTGTGCTGTACTACTTCACTTCATCTGTGGTTCTAGCAGAGAAAAAATAGTGTGCGTGCAAATTTGGCACTTGCTTTTATTGCACAAGCAACAATGAGAAATAAGCACTATGTTGTGGGGATAAATGCTTAGGGCTTCGTTAAGGGAAGTTCTGCCTACACAGGGTCTGTGCAATTCACAAGGATCACTTGCGCCCTCCAAGTGGGCCTGAGTGGGATTACTTTGGTACCTAGGTATTGTGTGGCCTCTGTATTTCCCTCCCTCCTTAATGCATGGATCTGCATCCTGCCAAAGGCCCTATTCACTGCAGAGTTTGTCCTTAATATACCGTACTGTTCACTCCAGTTTTGATTTGATCTCAGACTAATAAACTGAAGGAAAAAAAAGAAAAAAAGCATGTGGATATAACCGAAGAAACACATTGCTTCTGTGTTTCTATTGACGTGTACTTTTTCCACCTGATATGTCTGAAAGGTGGGAACTGTTTTGGTTCTTTTTTTTTTTTCCAGTTGTTCGGGGAATTTTTAATTTCATTTTAAATCCCTGAATTATGCTGCACTGCAGCAGCAGTTGTGCAAGGCTTTTGAAAGGTATGAGGCAAAACACAGAGAACCAACACCCACAAGCAAAATTAGGAGTTTCTGTTTGGGGATATTGCATGTGTGCATCTTGTGCATATGCGCACACACTTGCTGTGTTTATATATGAATAGATCTCAGTATAGGTGCATTTTCACCAAATGTGATCATTTTGCTGAATTCAGTAAGTGATATCATTGATTTTGTGTAAGACACAAACGCACTAGATCTTCGTGGGTGCAGCATGTTTCCAAATGCAGTTTCTGTGTTGTTGTTTTTTCTAAAAAAAAAAAAAAAAAAAAAAAAAGAAAAAAAAAAGCTTGTCTGTATAGTTCAGTTATCTAAAAAATCTTGTCAAAAAATCTGTAAAACCAAATCTTCAAATTTTCTATTTGGTGTCAGCTGTTCTGTAGTAAAGAAATGGCTTTGTCTTGTAATTGGCAATGAAATAATAATGCTTGGGAAAACATGCAGATGCTTCTAATGGGGAAAACTTACGCTGATTTTCACACAGTGCTTTTGCTATGCATGGTATTAAGTTGGGAAAGTGAATCCTGGTAGTATTTTTTTCAGGGTCACTTTTAGAAATGGGCAGCTCAAAACACAATGCCTCCCATAGGACGGGGTTCCAAAATGCAACATTTTATGTATAATCGTGTTGTATTTGCTGACTGGAGAGCTAAACTGGACTGGGGGAGTTGGTAACGTTACATTGCGCTTGTCCTAATGAGACTGCATTAGCTGCCCAAGATGCTGCTATTTTTTTTTTTATTCTTGTTTTTAAAAATAAAGCTCTGTTCTGTTAAATGTCTTTAAAACATTAAGATTGCTTTGTTTTAAAATGGTCTTCAAGGAGGTGGAGGGTAAGGTGGGTTGTAAATTGCCTTCACAAGGCAACAGTGAAAACACGCCTCCTTGAAATTCTGTTCAAGCTATAGAGTTGATGGAGCTGTGTCTTGTTTTTAAGTTGCTTTAAAAATTGTAATAAGTCTTCAAGCAGAATAAAAGTTGTTTTGAAAAAGCTTTTCAGTTGTTGAGGCTTCAGTAAAGACTGAGATGTCTGTTTACCAGAACCGAATAAAGTAGCTGACTAGCTCCAAAATATTCTTGTGCCAGAATGATGGTTCTACTAGTTTCATACACTTGCAAGAGCAGTGCATCTGCCTTCCGCATTGAAAGCAAAATTCTGTTTCTTCTGAAATTTGAATGAGTGTGGTTACTGATATCCATCAAGTTAGCGTAACAACATTAGCTAGAGGTAACTCACCACTCTTGCCTTCCCCTGCCTGTGAAAACTAAGGTGACAGTGAAGAAAAGGGAGAAGTTAGAGGCTGACATATGGTATTAGAATTTTTCAAGCACATCCACATCTTGCCTTTAGAAGTTCCCTGGGGAACCCAGCCAATCCCTCTGGAAGAATAAGGAGATTCCTGTTCCCAAGTTTTGCATTCCAAAATCTGCCCATTTGTTGCTCACTGTAGTCACAATACCAGCCAACTGAGGTACTCAGATACCACGGGTGGAAATTAGTAATTTTTACAACATAACCACCAGCCTTTACAGTTTCTTAGAAGAAACAGATGAAAGGCTGTACTGAATTTTCAATTCACTCAATACAGAGTGGGGTTAGATTTCTGAGAAACACGTGCATTGCAGTTTTTGCAATTAGTAAGCTGATTCTTTTAAATAGACACCACGCTTATCTTTTTCCTGCTCACAAAGCATATATTAAGCAACACAAGCTCTTCCATAAGCCAGAGAGACGCACATCTAAAAATAAGGTTATGGTTGTGAATCACACATCTCCAATTATCAGCTCCTCAGAGACATTATGATTGGTTGATCATAATCTGCAGAAATGTACAGACCAGTGGCTTTTTGGCCTCTGTCATATGCTGTATTGAAATCACACTTGGCAGACTGAAAAGAATAGTTTTCAAAAATGTCACTCTATTTTTGTTGTCTGCAGACAAAGACATTCCCACTTTTCTTCGCTTTCTTCCTAAGACTTTATGGTCATTTTTTCTTAAGGAATGTGAACAATTGCTTGAATTTATCTTTGTGCAGCTACAAGTTGATGTAATTTTTTAAAATGATTGGGAATGATTTCCAACTTCTGTCTGTCCCCAAGCCACTTAACTCCCATGAAGTCCCAAGCACAGGTAACTTCTCGCACATCCCTTTGAGTCAAAGAGAGAAGAAGGGATTTTAGACTTCTTGCTGTCCTGTGAAGCAATAGGTGATGCCTCCTCCCCTCTCAGAAGGAACACGGGACAAATGAAGACCCTTGCAGCTGTCTGTTGGGATTCAGGCACAAAATGGCAGGGATGAGCAAACTTCTGTAGCACAGCTCTGTGTGCTGTGAGGCCCACCTGCGTTTGCAGCCCTCCTTTACATCTCCACAGGAAAGGACATCTCTGTTTTGCAGGGGTGCTCAGAGGGACTCTGACATCTCTGGAGTATTGAGGAGACAACTAATGTTTACAATGGCCTATGATGTCCTGTACAAGTCCAAACAGGGCTGCATCTGCTTCTGCCTGGGAAACAAGTTGACTCCCTTCACCTTCCTCCCCTCCATGTCTTGAGTGCCCAAGGCTGAGACAGGAACCAGCTACTGTGGGCTATGCCAGTCCCACGGAGATTGCCCTCAGCTGCAGTGTGGAAACTAAGGAGACTGTAAATGCTGAGGTCCTGCCAGCATCCCTGATTGGAAATGAGGAAGAAAAATTACTAGTTCTGCTTTGCCTGCTTGGACGTGGGGTCAGACACGCTTCTAGCCAGAGCAAAGTTGTACGAAAGTCACTGCACCCATCTTTAATACAGCTGAAAAAAGAAGCATTAACCATGGGAGCTCAGCAGAGGATGTGGCTCTGACCTGTCTTCCCTTTTTTCTCTTTCATTTTCTTTCTTCTTTCTATTTCTTTTTTCCTTCCCTCCTTTCTTTTTATGATCTTCCTTTTCTTTCTTTTTTCCATCCCTCCTTTCTTTTTTCCATCCCTCCTTTCTTTTTATGCTCTTCCTTCCTTCCTTCCTTCCTTCCTTCCTTCCTTCCTTCCTTCCTTCCTTCCTTCCTTCCTTCCTTCCTTCCTTCCTTCCTTCCTTCCTTCCTTCCTTT